ATTATTATAGATGATGAATATACCATTTGAGCAACTAGACCAGATCCGTGCAAAAACTGGCACTTCACGGAGTTCAACATTTTCACCTTACATTTATTTTTTTTAAATAGTGCTCAATTAGTAACAATTGGTTACCAGCAACTCGAAATTCTTAAATTAATGTTTTTATCGTTCGAGGTGCCAGGCTGCAGGCGGACCTAATTACTCCAATATTTTCGGGAGTGCACAAACTGTGAAGGGCTCACAGTGCTTCGCCTTCCACACTCCTTATTATTATAGTAGCATAATAATTTCAAATCTACATTTATCATTTATGTATTATACATGGTTAATATGGTATTATAAGGTTTCCAGGGGAGGGGGGTTCAATATTTTTACTAGATGCACGCCGTATTTCAAATGCATTATTTCACTAGGTAAGTAATAATTTTGGTGTAGGTATACTGTATACAAAATACATATTCAAATTGTATTTTTTTAAGGGGGTTTGAATGCCTACCCTAAAATACTACAGCTGAGTGGTGTAGCCAGAATTTTTCATTGACGGTGAGGGGGTTAAACAAGAATTCCTATGTTGATGAGGTGGATATATAACATTTTAGACTTTTGATGCGACCTTCTTACCAATTGCAATTTTAATACATGTGGTATTTCGTGATACGTTTACAGAACACTAAAAGAATTTGCAAAGTTTTCTGAAATGTCGGAAACGGCTGCAGCCCCCTCAGCCACCACTGGTTACGACTACACTGCGACAGCTCACATTATATATTTCAATCTCCTAGCAAAACGTCCAAAATCGAACAGACCGTTTTTAATTGCAATAAACTTTATCGCATGGTAAACATTTATAAAGCCATCTAGACGAGCGGTGTATATAACATAAAATATAAACATATTATTATTACATGTATAGCGGACCACAACTCTTGTAGCGCACCCTCTGTAGTATTTATATCTCGTTAAGTCTATATTTGTAAACACTTAACTTCAGAGAATCGCATTTCTCGGCTTTATAATAATATTTCATGTTGTTATTGCGCATTATTGTATTACCATATTGAAAAACCTTTTAATCAATCAATAATGTTGTATATCTCGGCACTCACATCACTCTGCGATCTACACGTCACGCGTATCTATGTGGGTTCGTATAAGACTATAACATAATAGAAATCCGAACCGAATTCATTTCAGTATAGAACGTCGTGTAAAGTATCGGCTGTTGAAATATGTACTTAGTAATGTATAATATGTACACTCACGTATAATATAATAGTATATTAGTTGGACGTTAAACTCAGTTTTCTCGAAATTTAGACGAAGTGTAGTGTGCGGGAGAGGCAAGAGGTCACTGCAGGCGTATACCCCTCAAAATGTTGTTCCATACTCCATATTCTTCTATATTTGAACTAATCAACTATTTGTTAGGTGATGTCCTCAACAAAAAATGACCATTGAAAAATATTAAAAATTGATTATAGTAAATAAAATTGTTTTTCGAAAATGTCTTTTGTATTGAGTTAAAATTTCTATGTAAAAAAAAATGTTTCCAAAACCATTAATAGTTTTCGAGTAAACGCGAGTGGCAGGTGCCTTGAAAAGTATCGAATTACAGTACAGCAGTGTACATCATTATAAATATTACTATAATAATATATTATATTATGGTGTTATTATTATAATGGTTATTGTTTCGTGTGTAATCGGGTAATGTTCGGAAAATCGGAAAAAATTACTTTAAGCACTCGGAAATATATATAGGTATGCGCGAATCTTGCAGTTGTCGGTGTTTTTGTGTAGCAGTGTTTATGCCTATACATACAAGACTGTTAAAAATTTAAAATACATCGTAGTCCATATTTTTTGTTTTTTTTTTTTTGTCCGCGTTTCCGAAGAAGCCTACTTACTACTGTAATTTTATAAATTGTTCCATAGGAAATAATAAAAACAATTTATTACCGACAAAGAACGAGAAAAATGTACCTGTTACGCTAGTTAAAGTGGATAAAAAAGAAACATGAACTAAATAAATGATCAAGGCCGTATTTACGGGAGGTTTTTGACCCATTGAAATTTATTATTATCATTATTATTGTATTTTTATTATATTATCGGGCCGTATCACGGTAATTCATCGTCGCGGCAAACATTTTCGTGGCAGCGTACGAAAACAATACACGGTCGACGGTCGTAAATTTTGCTGAAAATAAAAAAATTAAATAAAATGTCTCGATTAAGAATATATTATTATATTATTATAATGCCTGTGTACAAGTAGGTATACTTTGTGTACGTTTTCTTCTTATTCTTCTTCTTTTATAGTACAATATAATGTTATGACCACTCTCGTATAATTTACACAAGCAACAGAGCATGGTAGGTACCGTCCGCGCTCAAGTTGCTCGGATTAGCATATAAATATAATTTGTTCATTACCCGAAATAAAATGAAACTGTTCATAATATAATAATATAATATATGTTGTATAGGTACGCCGAGCATTAATTGTATGCCCATGCGTAATATTGCAGCAGTCATAATTTTTACCATTGTGTTAAGTATTATATTGTACATTCGTATACAGGGTGATCACCTCTTAAATTTTTACTTCAATATGGCTGTAATCAAAATTCTTATTTTTAGAATCCTTAAATAAACTTACTGAAATATGTTTAAGTGTTTTTGAGATTATATTTTGTACCAATATTACAAAGTGTCCTGTAGTGATAAAAACTTCTGCTTTTCAAACTAGAACCGCCGCCCTTTTCTGCTGTAAATTATTTAACGGATATTTTTTCCTAAAAGTACCTATCAGAATCAAAATTCGAACGAGCAGTTTTTGAGTCGTTTAACTTTGTGTACCAAGGATAATATAGTTCCATGATAATGGGTTCGGGAGATATGGTGGCAAAGTAATAGGGACGGAGGTTCTCGTTTGAAATAGAAGTTTATCACGCCACAAGACACTCCTTAAATAGTACTAACAAATTCACGAATTTGAATACATTTTTTACTAAAGGAAAAATGGGTGTGGGAATGCTTGGTGAATCACTCTGTCTATGTACAGGACTGGTATTATAGGACTGATGTGGGAAATTAGTAATTATATTGGTATAGAAGCCGTGCGAAGGTGCCTATATAGCGTTATAAGTAGGTGTCGTTGATTCTATTAAATTTGTATGTTTTTTGTATTGTTTTGTGGTGGTTGTAGAATATTATAATATGTTCTGCGGGTAAGATAAACATTTGTTTTGCGAAATAATAACGGCGAAATTCATTAATTAAATACAAAGTTCGACTTTGCATAATATTTTTGCACATTACGTTACATGTATATAGGTATCGCGATTATACAATAAATGTATTTATTCATATTCAACAAATTCAAAATTTTTTTGCAACTTTTGCTGTTATATAAGTGCATGTTTTCATATGATTAAATCCGACCTAACCTTGAGTTTTAATTAATCATTACATATGTTTGTTTACAATAATTATTAATAAATAAAATAAAAGTTAGCAGCAAATTTTAGAGCAGTTTTTTCTTAATTTTAATTGCATACTTTGAACATTATTACTTATAGGTAGTGCAATAAGTTCTGAACTCTTCAGTTCTAACTTATGAGATGCGTTATTTACGTCACACTACCGTAATCTCTCAATACACGAACGAGAACTGATTAAATATTAACTATACTAATTAATCTATAAATATATGTGGACACATGAAAGTCTTTAGGGTGCCATCGAAAATTTCCAGCGTGCCAAGCTTGGCACTTGTTTTTTATCCCTGCTATTTAGGTATATATATATATTACTAAATATACAAAATACATAATATAACTAATAAATACATGTGTTTTGTGCATTTCATCTACACATGTATCTTTAGACATTATGTCCACTAATACACGTATTGCCTCGTTTTAGGTGTTTACTATATATTATGAATTGTTACTTTTAATTATCATGTAATTGCCTTTATGTGCTCAGTGAAGAAATACCTAAAATAATTATCCAACCACGGGTTATAAAAAAAAACTTATAATGTCTTTGTTCTAAGTGTAATACCATGATGACAAAGTAAAAAAATATAATATATTATTGTACTATTATTGTTATTTTATAATATATAGACTTGTACTGTGTACCATTACGTATTCAACGCTCGAACTTATTATACTTACATATAAATATGTCTATTCCAGAATAATAATTTATCTAAACTCTAAACCTTCGCGACGACGCGACATCGATCACATTAATTATTATTAAGCTCCATCCCTCATATGCATATTTTATGTGTTAACTACTTAACTATTATGTATATGTACGATTTCAAAGATAAAAAACAATAACATTAAGGTATATAAATACATTATTATGGTAGGAAGGTAGTACCAGTGTTATTTAACTAATAAGATAAACAAAATGTATTAAATAATTTAATTATTGATCAGATTTGTGCCTTAACTTAAATGTTAAAAAAATATCTATCAGAGGTCCAATATACAGATCGTCACAGCTTTCACTCTAACCATGTCTAACCTTTTGATCCAAAGTTCATCGACTAAGAAAATTCTTGCAAGATTACTATAGTAGTCCTAAGCACGCAAATGGTGTAGATACTTGTATTAACATCAATTAAAATTAATTTAAAACGAAAAAATAAAATAGGAAGTGTTTCCAATGGCTTCTTTTGTCAAGCTGTTCAATATGTGCTATTTCACACAGCTGGTATACTCTAATTGCACCTGCAGGTTTAGCCTACCTATAAAATAAAGAAGAAAACAACTAAGTTTCTAAATTGTATTAAAATGGGCACAATAAAATAAATAAATGCATTTATTATTTTCATCGATTTTAATAAATAATTTAGTATATTATTGTGTTATGTATTAATATATGATTTAATAATAATTCAATTTTAAGTATTAGTACAAAATAAGAAAATAGGTTAATCATTAACTTGTATTAATAATTTTTTTTTTTTTTAGGAAATGCATTTACTCTCATTCAAGTTCAACTTCAAGAATTATACCAACACCAAGCTACGCCCATGATGTATGTATGACGTATACATTTTAATAAAATATAAAATATCTTAGTTTTTTTTTTAATATCCACTAAACAATAATAAGAATTCAGTAAAAATGTGCTAGGTAGGTTCCAAATAGCATTTTTTAAACAAAATGAAAATTAAATATTGTATTATTATTATTGTTCCGAGGCCAATCATATTACAATATTTAGGTACCTAGTTCAAATTATTTTATCTATATAAATAATATATACATGAAAAACATAATAAAAATACAATCCAATAATTGAGAGAACTATTATTTGAAATCATTATTCTCGTAGATTGAACTGTAAGGGGATATTATTTCCCAGTTTGAAGCATTTGAGATTTTTTAGAACGGCATTTAATGCGAACCTGCAAAACTAATTCGCAGTCTTCCTTACATTCAATTTTAGAATACTTAATTTGTTTTATTAATTCTTAATCGCCAGCATGCTCCATGCGAGTACGAAAAAGATAAAAAATAGATGTTTCGACTAGTGAAGAGGCCGTCAAGGCCCCTTTACACCCCCACCCTGCATCAAAAAAATCCTTGTATACGACGAAGGTCGATATACACACATAAATCAATCGTTTATCATAATATTTATTTTGTTCAGTCGGAGACAAGCTATATAATAATATGCAATAAATAATAATATTATATACACTGCAACATGTATACATATAAGATATATAGGGATGCCGCAACGAATTATTTGTCACTCTGTACACACACATATATTATTCTTTTAATACATAATTATCTCTTTTTACACCGTTGCGTGTATTGTACCCACACACACACACACACACATTATACGACCATAATAATAATAATAATAATAATAATAATAAGTGTCTACACACACATACACACACGTCCGTCGAAATAACGTTAAAAAAAAATATGAAAAAGGTACAGTTACGGGTGGTTAGTGTTGACAGGTGGTGTGCAGTGCATGTGTATAAGTACTGCTGCAGGGTTTCTCAAAATATGACGGACAGGCCGTGTGCAGCTCTTGTCGCGCTGCACACGTACACATACACACACACACCTGCCGGTGGTTTTTTTTTTCTAAATTTTTTTTCCCGTTCGCTTTGTTTATTGGAATAAACGCCATTGGCCACCTGAGACCCGTCTGCCGGCTTAATTTTCGAGTTCGCGAGGTACCTGCAACTATAAGCCCACCGATACTCAGTTGCAGCAGTCATTTCGAAAACTGCAGTCCCGTAAAAATAAAATATTGCCACGACAACTGCGCAGAGCTGAGTAACCGTTTTTTTTCTACCTTCTTTTCATTTCATTTCTAGTTCGCGGTAGGTAGTACGCACGCACTGGTTATTGCGTGCATAATATACATAATACGTACATTATAATGATATCCGTCTGAGTTTGTATATTATAATAATATGTATACCCACAACTGCGGTGCTGCGTATATTAAATGTGACGACGACATCGCTTTCTGCTGCAGTGTGTGCACCGCCGATAAGCTGTGCTTTCGAAAATCGAACCTACTTCCGGTCTACCGTCGAACATGTTATACTATTATCGGTACGTTTTATTTTTATTTATATATGAATATTATAATATTATACGTAGGTATATGGTTAGGTAATAAAAATAATGCTCGTACCTACCTATAAATGTATACTATATTAAATACATTGTTATGTATCACTGCGGTACGTTTTATTTATTTATTTGTTAACGGTCGAATTTAGTACGAATAAATAAATGCATTATATGCACTTTAAAACCACCTCTCACTGTATATATATACCTATACATATTATATATTGTTTTAAGCTCAATTTTTTATATATTATATTATATTACTATCATAAGCATTTGTATATGCAATATTGGAATGTGTACAATGTGCAGTGTATATAATAATAATAATAATAATAATAATATGCAAGTCCACCATGGTAAACAATAATACAATTTATTATAATATGCATGTATAAATGTATGCACTGTGGTAGAAGAAAAAAATCCTCTGGGTGGTAATTATATTATTCGTTGTACTGACTACTGATTGTTCTATGATAAATAATAATCAGATACCTAATTCTGTCAAATTACGAAAAAAAATGTAATCATTTTACGCCAAAGTGGTTTTTCATGCATGAAGACAATTACTGTTGTATTAGAGAGCATGCAACGGAGTATCAACATTTCTATAATATTTAATTATATTAAATATGAAAAAAAAATCATATCAGGTAGTTGGTTCATAATTCATAATTCGTTTTTTTAAATGTACCTACATCTCATAAATGAACAGTAGTAGAACAAGTGACGGAGGTGGATACTACAGCAGCATATTGCATATTATAATTTAAAACATTATCAAACATTTAATTTTAAACTCGGTGAAAAATGTCGAATTGTAAGACTTTGCATTTTGCAGCACGAAAAAATATTTATAAAAAAAGAAGGAGTATATGAAAAAAATAATAAAAAATGCAAGGATATCAAACTCCCGTAATAGTCAATATATATTTTTAACATTACAGTTTGTACCTAGGTAGGATGTATGATGGATGTTAACCGATGTAAATTCTTATTTTTTTGCCCGTATTAAATTGTTAAGCATAAATAATTTCAAGTTTGAATTTGAATTGGTGATGGTACCTACGTCGATTTAACGTTATTATAATTATTATTTATAACACGTGTTTCCAAACGATGTAAGTAGAGGTACCTTACTACATAATATTTTGTAATTTCATCTAAAAAAAAAAATAACATGTATCAGCCACACACGACAAGTGTAAAACGTTTTTTACCCGCAGGCAAAAACACCGTTTCGAGCAATATTGTATTTAATTTTGTTTTTCAGAGTTGAGTTAGGTACAATATAGTATATTATACAAACTACGTGTTATCTTTTGAATTTGAAATAATAGCTCTTGGGTAGATACTACGCCAGATAGTGTCTAATGTCTATTAGCTGGTTCATTGCGAGTATTTTTATCTCGAGGTATGAGAACAACAACTATATTTTAATGGTTTGAAACGTTCGTCCATCATTAAATGATTTGGGCACCAACAATAAAACCCAAGCCTTTGTTAATAAACCAAATCCGATTTAGTCGCGAAACCAAGGTCGGTGATATATCGTTACAAAGTTGCTCAAAAAATCTATACCGCATTGACATTATTGCAATTATTACTATTTAAGAATAATATATTCAATGACACCCAAGGTAGTTCACGCAAAATAGCTATTTATAAGTATTGCGTTTCCATAATATGTATATATATATATTATACGTTACAAATTGATTAAATTGGAGCGGAGTGCAGGTGGGCATTAAAAATATATATTTTTATTTTCTGTGGATTCTCCATTTTCGTAAACGTACCCACACTGTGAATCGTTCGGTGTAGGTGTTCAGCGTTTGTTTTTTTTTTTTTTTTGTTCGAAATATATTACACTATTAACAAAAAACAAAATAAGCAATGTGCAGGCATACATTTAAATTATCACTATAGACTATAGTAATAGGTGTCTATAATATAGGTATATTCTGTATACTATGATTTTATAATGCATGTACGAATAGGTAGGTAAATACTAAAGACACATAATTTATACTGCCAGGCGTGTATATGCATTGTTTAAGGTAAACACGACGTTTAATTGTTTCTTGAAAACATAATCCACAGCGTCGACTTAAACAGAAGTGTCATAATCTGACTCAGTATTCCGTCTATTTGGTATCGTCTCGTTTAGTCGTTTATTATACTCGCGCCTTAGCTTTAAATTTGATAAGATAATAGGTACCTACTGCTTGTTTACGGTGATGGATAAAATATCGACAAAACGAAAAAAGTTACTCTTTGTAATACGCACATTGGTTCGTATTCCTTAAACTTGTTTTCAACAATTTTAAAATCTCCGAAGTCCTACCGATTAAAATTAAATTGAATTTCGTTTACCTACCCGTTATATTATATGCCATAATTGGTAAACTTACCTACCTATTATTGTAATTTATAAGGGATTCAAATTTAATGTTACATTAATGATTAATTGGTAATTTATAAATTGTCGTCGAGTTTAATATTTCAATAACAGCAATTACAATTATCAATATTATGCTCAGCATAACGATTAGCTGAACATTTTATTTTTATTTTCAGTCATGATAATGACTATTCAAATTCGTTGTAAAATTGAACGATAATTGGTTTTTACGATTCGTCTAGAGACTTGAGTATAAATTAAAAAATATATATTTTACAAAAAAAAAAAGAAATACATAATATTATCTTTCAACGGGAACTGGGCTTGAGGACAACACTGAACTTGCAATAGACTCACCTTCGTATAATTTATTCTTCTATCATATATTATAATATACACAATACAATATTATGATGAATTCTCTATACGTACAATAAAAATTCAAGACAGAGACATTGACTCATATCGCATATAAATTAAAAATGTAAGGATACATTATCCGATTATCGACCATTACATTAATTACATTATTTAAAATGTTGATTATTTGAAATCGGTATGAATATTATTCGGATATCGAAATAACCAGTTGGTGGCAGACAAAAATGATGTTTAAAATATTTTTCAAATGTACTACCTACTATTGTTCTAGTAAAAAGTAACGACCGATAGCACACACCCAAAAAGTATAATTTTCTTGATAGTTGATAGATTCGTATTATGTATGTTGCGCGTAGAAGTCGATATAATATAACTGACAGAAATATTATTATCAATAGTCGTTCGGCTCACTCCTATTATTAGAAATATATAATACATGTACTATATTATGTACATTAAATTAATGCGATGTATGGAATCTGATTTGACTATTTAGCATGAACACTTCAATAAATATTCTGTTCAGCATCTAAACGTTTTAGACTGATTAAACTGTATACTCGATGAACATCACATTATATGTTTGCATAGCTGGTATATTGAAAAATACATTGTGTTCTGTACGTATTATGATT